TATCAAGTAAGATTATCTTATGTACACGAGGAAGATGAGGATGATCACAATGGTTTAAATATTTGAGCCCCAAGTAACTTCAACATCTATAGATATCCGATAATCAAATTTTTTCCTTTTGACTTCATTGAGTTTTTTTCTAAAATATTTATTATCTAATTATTTAATCCAATATAAAATACACTGTTCAAACACCAACAATTTCTTCAGTTTCTTTAGCAGTTGAACGTTTATCTGGATTAACTAACATCCATACATTGGTATGATAAATCAATAAACATTAAAATAATAATTGATAATTACCAATAATTGCATCTTTACAGGAATTTATAGATTGTACTGCATTTATAAATTTTAATAATGGGCTAGTGCAAACAGCAATTTGATGAGTAGTAGTCGAGATCGTTGAAGGATCAAATGGTGATTTATCCATCTATCAAATTTTTTCCTTTTGACTTCATTGAGTTTTTTTCTAAAATATTTATTATCTAATTATTTAATCCAATATAAAATACACTGTTCAAACACCAACAATTTCTTCAGTTTCTTTAGCAGTTGAACGTTTATCTGGATTAACTAACATCCATACATTGGTATGATAAATCAATATAGAACTTGGAAGTAATGTTGAAAATCCTGGTTTTACTCTTTCACTGCAAGTTTTTAACATGCGTAGTATTATTGTGACCTAAAACTATATATATCTGATGCCATTGTATACAATTTACTTTTTAACACTTCAGGGACAATATACGGTAAAACCAATTGCAACATTTGATAAATTCGCAATATATGTATAATTGAAATAATTATCTCTTTTTTAAATCTTATGAATGGTATTTTTATCATGAATGTAACATAAGCTATTAATTATGTGTTTAAGAATTTTTATTTTATCTTTCCATTTAAAGCTTTAAAATTATTTGTTGGATAATTATGAAGACTTCCGTGTATATAATCTTTTTTAATTGGATTTTGAGACATGCAATAAATACGAATTATATTTAAAGTCCAATATAATTTTTGACTAT